AATATTATAGTTAATAATATTGAATTATAAATGTAGACAGCGGCCCACCGGGAATTTTCCAATTTCCCGGTGGGCCAATCCGTCCCTGCTCTTGTGTTGAACTATTTGAACTAATGTTTACTCATGACATTTTTGAACATTTGTTTTCTGAGTCAAACAAATATGCCATGTTTTCCAATAGTAAAGACCCTAATATCAAAGTAGAAGAATTAAAATGCTTCATTTCCATTCTCATTGTAAGTGGTTATAATTCACTTCCGGGTAAGCTATATTATTGGGAAGACAGAAAAGATATGAAAAATGAAATGGTGAGTAATGCAATGCGCCGTGATCGGTTTCTTCAAATTTCAAGGTTTTTACATTGTGCGGATAATATGAATATAAATACTACAGATAAAATGTACAAACTTAGACCTTTAATTGAAAAATTAAAAGTGAACTTTCTCAAAAGCTTTCAACCTTATCAATATTTATCGTATGATGAATCTATGATTAAATATTACGGTAGACATGGTTTTAAACAACTTTTAAGGGGTAAGCCTATTCGTTTCGGGTATAAAGCATGGTGTCTAACTAGAGATTTTGGATATCTTCTAAACTTTGATATATACCAAGGGAAATCTCCGAATTTAAACACAGCTTACGAAGATGAATATGGTAAAGCTGCTACCCCATTAATGATTATGCTTGATGATTTACCAGAAGAAAAAAAACTATCATATTCTATTTATTTCGATAACTTATTCATCGGATTTAATCTCTTAGTTGACTTACGTGAACGTGGATACGGAGGAACAGGAACAATACGATACAATAGTATTCCAAAAAGTTGTCCTATTAGTAAGAATAGTATGTCCAAGGAACGATGAGAGTATAAAAGTACTATTAGCCGAGAAGATGGATTGATTGTCGTTCGTTGGGTTGATAATTCAGTTGTTTCAATGTCACCTAATATTCATGGAACTGAACCCGTGTCAACAGTCAGACGATTTTCACAACATCAAAAAAAATTTATTCAAGTTCCTCGGCCAGCAATAATTGCTAATTATAACAAACACATGGGTGGAGTCGATCGAATGGATGAAGACATAGCCAGATATCGAGTAGGGATTCGTGGAAAAAATGGTGGTGGCCTATTTTTACTTGGCTCTTGGACGTGGCAATAAATAATGCATGGGTTTTGTCAAAAAAAAGTGGAAGTACTTACACAAAATTAGAGTTCAAACGCGAAATCGCCTCTACTTATATAACTAAATTTGGACAGCCAGGAAAGCAGGGAGGACATCCATCTATTTAAAATGCTAGAATTTCTGATGAATTGCGATATGACTAAATGAATCATTGGGTAATTGAAGTACCAAACAAGAAAAGACGTCGTTGTGCTGGAAAGAACTGTAAATCACAGGTTCGAACCGGCGCTTTCCATTACCGCACAAACGTGACCCAATACCGCACAATATGCTTAACCCAATACCGCACACAAAAATAGTACGATACCGCACAGATTTATAAAAAGGCATAGTCTAATTCCGCACAAAACAAATAGTACTATACCACATAAATTTATTAAATATAAAAATTTAAAAAAGCATTACTTAGAATTAAATAATTAAGAATAGAATCTATATAGCCATAATATATAGTAATAGTATAGTGATATTAACCAAAATGAATATTGTAGGCACCTATATTGATTTAAAATTTAATCTTGTTTTTTTTATTTATTCCATTATAGTATGTTTGTTAAGAAAATTGAGTACTGAAATACCAAATTATAACATAAAATAAATGTGATTTAGGACTTTGTATTCTATGTTTTAGAGTATTTCATGAAAAACAATAACTTATACATTTAATTTTTATTATCATTATAATTCTAAATTCAAAAATAATAATAAAGAAACATTTTTACTACATTTTATTCTTATACTTGTTATCATAGAACTATATAATACTAATAAAATTCTTATGCAATGTCAGCGCCTAGCGTAACCAAGTGGTAACGCTTAGTTCTAAAAAAAGTATAATTGATTTATAAAAAAATTTATTTTTTTTGCTATTACTATTGTCTAATAAGACTAATTAAGTCCAAAAAACAATAATTTAAAAAAAATAATAACTCCGGCTCTGAAGGGTTAATTTTGGTTAGGGTTAGAGAAAGACAGAAAATCGCCGCTTTCAATCCCCTTAACATTGTAACTTTTATATAATTTATATCTATTATTGTATTCATTGTAACTATTATCAAGAGAACGGAGGTTTGGGGTTTTATCTATTAGTGAATTTTCCATTTAAATGACCTTTAGAAAATAACGTACTCGAAATGTTCAATTTTTTGGTTAAATTAGTTCTCACATAAAAAGTATTGAATTTGTAATTCATACTTATTATTATAAATTAAACAGTTAGTGATGTTATTTTATTATCTAGTTACATCGCACTCCTATATTATAACATCTTGTTTTAAAATGCATTTTTAAAATCTGCTGAATTAAGTTATAATATGATATTTATTTTACATGATAATTTTATGAACATCAGGAATAGTGTGTTATACGATGACGAGACTGTGGAATCCGCTGACACAGGGATTCTATTGTGACACGGAGCGTTGTCGTCTAAGACACTATATGGGAGGCCAGTCAGTCTTATTGTTACTTCTGAACCGATACATCGTATGTATATCATTAGCCGCAAGATTACGTTAATAGGTTTTTTATAGGTTGCTAGGGCTAAAAAAGCTAGGATGGAAATGGTGAAGACTCCTGGGCTTGTGGAAATGTCGTCATCGGGAAGTAGAACTACTACTACGCCAAAAATTTGAATAGTGCCGAAAATTATTCCGTGTTTTTCCGCTCGCTCATGCCCGAGTTGAAAAATGTATTAAAAACACGAGTACAACAAGATGCTATAAAATTTAATTTGAAGCTCGAGGCCACATACAACCTACCAAGTGTGCTCAATTCACTGGAGAATAGGGCATTTAAAAGATCGACGGTCGAAATTTTTTCAGGGAGCAATATTACCAAGATATTGGAGAGAGCGTATATTAATTATTAAGTTGTTGGTTTAGGGGGAGGTATATCGGGGTAGTGGTAGCGGTTTCAGGCCGCATACTATCGATAGGTTATTTGCTGGCTGTATATAAATATACCCCGATGGGCGGCTCGTTATATATCGATCTACCTCAATATATAAAAGCCAGAAACGCGACAATAAACCCTCTAAACATAAACGAACAATGCTTTAAGTGGGCTATTCTAGCGAGGCACGTGACAGGTCTTCCCCTGAGGCGTGTCGGTGAAAACTATATTATGCATGAGGACAAATACAATTTTGGGGGTATAAAATTTCCGACACCTATGGCGAACATAAAGATTTCCGACGCAAATAACCGGGGTGTCTCTTTAAACGTATATGGACTCACTCCTAAAACCACAAACCTGAAGTATCCAAAATACGAAGTGTTTCCGCCACGCGATATTGATGAGGAGAAGCTCATCTTCGATCTGTTGTTGCTCAGTAACTCCAGCGGGGCACATTACGTATATATTTCAAATTTCTCTCGGCTTGTCTCCCCTCAGAAAATAGACTCGACGATCTACATTTTTTTTGTAAATGTTGTCTAACGAGTTTTGATAAACGTAGTTTGAAATACAAACTAAATGGGGAGGCAGCGTTAAATAAACATAAACTTATTTGCGGGTCTCACAAACCCATCTTACCTGAGATGCCTAAAGCTGGTGAATGTGTTAAGTTTGAGACCTGAAGAAGCACACAGAGACACCCTATTGTTATATACACTGATTTCGAGGCCTTGCTAGTCAAGGTTGACGAGAAGAAAGGCGAAAACACAACAATTGTATAGATACATGAGGCCATGAGTTACGGGTTCATAGTTAAACACTTAAATTGGTAATGTATCCTGCCAGATACATCAACTTTGAGTAATATTATAAATTTCCTGAAAATTGATATTACCGATTGTTATGTTTTATACACTGCTAATATATCTCGTGTTTTGATAATAAATACGTACCATAAATTACAATGATAATACACTGATCGATAACAAAATACAAATTTCAGTTTATCAGTCCACATTTGTATTCGGTTTTTCGTTTTTGAAGAAGTGTTTATTTTATTTATTTTTTCATAAATCGATGTGAAACATTTTAAAAATCATTAAAGGTAAGTTTTTTTAATATTTTATAATTGAAATATATTGTTTTATAGTTTTAGTAAAGGATATTTCATTCTCTAAAATGGATGTATCTCTCAAGACACATTGCCAAGTATATACATTATACCAACTATGCCTTCACGTATCTCAGAAGATACATTGCCATTTCTGTCAACTATCAGAATTATTTTTTTATATGATGATACATTTATACTATTTAATGTTTACCTATATTTTCATAATTTAATTACATTAATAATTGTAGAGTTGTAAGACTATAATGTTTTCTTCACGATCAAAAAAAATGGTTTCTATAGTTATTCCTCCTTCTGATAGTGGATCAAGCTCAGAAGATGAATCAGAATTAGGAATTGATGAACAGAATGAACATGAAATAGATAGACTATTGGCAGAGTTAGACAAAGATATAGAAAATAATGTAAATTATAATAAATTAGTAATTTATAAATTTATTTTAGTGTTAGAATAAATAAGTATATTATATTTTTGTTTCTCTTCAAGGGGAATAATTTTGTACATACTATATTATTATCTTTATTGTTTTATTATATAATAAACCTAATTTGAATTTTTTGTTCTATTAGGAATTGAATGAGCAGTTGGCAAAAGATTTTGAAGAAATCTATAAGTTTGTAGATGAACAAGTTCCTAATAATTTATCAGAAGCTAGCATACATTTACTGTCAGATTGTAGTACTACAACCTTGACAACTCCACAACCTACTTTGATCCCATCTCCTGCTTCTTCAAGACCCAGCTCATCAACATCAACTACACCACGCCATTCTTGTCGTAAGTCTAAATTACTACCCAATAATCAACTGCCTCAGTCAATATCTGTTGCTCAAAAATCAACAGAAAAAATATCATTAAAACATTTAAGGTTTTCGTGGACAAAAAGCTCAACATTTAATTTTGGTGTTCATGTTCCTTTACAACAACAATATTTTACTAACAGTGTTTCTGTGTTGACACCAACAGAGTATTTTTTTAAAATTTTTTTCTGAAGATCTAATAATTCTTATGGTTGAACAATGTTGTTACCAGGTGGAATTCTACTTTTTTTATGTTTCAATGATTTTTAGAATTAAAAACTCCACTGCTCTTTGCGTTAGCTGATTTGAACCACGACAATAACTTGACATCTAATGATTGGGAAATAACACTGTCCTGCGACTACTTTGCTGTTTTAACTTTTTGCACTTACATTTATAGATTTTGAAGCGCTGAATTCAAATCTATAATCAATTTTTCTCTAACACGTCTAGTTTTTCTACAATTCGAATAATAAATATTGTCTCTTCTGTATAGTCATTAGTCATACAATAATGTGCGATATATTCGTCAAATTATTATTATTATAAACTGAATGTCGTCTACTTGACTGAAATTTTAATCTTATCTTTATTAAATTGTTTATCTTATAGTACCTAGTTCTTATCTTATAGTAGTACAATTAAATATATTTTTAAACTCACACAATTTATGTTTATTCTCTATAGTTACGTTCATTTTAGTCTTCATAAAATATCCGAGTTGTACCTATATCACTTTTCTTAGAGTTTATTTGTGCGATTTTTGATTTTCAATTTTTTTTTAGTATGACGTCTAAACCAATTAAAAGAAGATGTTGTAAAAACAACTCAAATTTATTTTGTTATATACGTGGTGAATATGTTATAATGAAACAACGAAATAACATTACAAATTTTGTTAAAAATGTATACCAAGAATATTTTGGTATTTATTTAGGCGATCAAAATAAATCTTGAGCACCCCATATTGCTTGCCGATCCTGTATTGAAAGTTTGCGAAATTGGAAACAAAGTGAGCGTTTATCAATGCCTTTTGCAGTACCAATGGTTTGGCAAGAACCAAAAAATCATATTGATGATTGCTATTTTTGTATGGTTAATATTTCCGGTTATAATAAAAAAATAAATCGAATATAATTTACCCAAATTTACCTTCTGCTATAGGACCAATACCACATGACCCTGAATTACCAGTGCCTGTACCATCCAAAGCTTTCGAAACTATTTTAAACCACGATACTTCTATAGATTCCGCTGGCAATTCTGGTAATAATGACGAAGACTTTCAACTTGACACACTACAGATGCTCCACAACTTTTCAATCAATTTGAATTAAATGATTTAGTACGTGACTTAGCTCTTAGTAAAGAGGCAGCTGAAATTTTGGGTTCGAGACTCAAAGAAAAAAATTTACTTGCAAAAGGTACTACTTTTTCTTGGTACAGGAATCGTGAAATGGAATTCAAACAATTTTTTTCAAAGGAAGGACCACTTGTATTTTGTAATAATATTTCTGGATAAATTCAATATTTTGGCAAACATTATGATGTGAATGAATGGAGGTTGTTTATAGATTCATCTAAAAGAAGCCTAAAAGGTGTTTTACTTCATAACGGAAACCAGTTAGCGTCTATTCCCATTGCACATTCTGTACATTTAAAAGAAACGTACGAAAACTTACATTTAATGTTAGAAAAAGTTCAATATCCACTACATAAGTGGATTGTTTGCGGTGACTTAAAAGTTTTGGGAATGTTATTAGGTCAACAAGGTGGCTATTCTAAGTTTCCATGTTTTTTATGTGAATGGGACAGCAGAAATCGCATGAAACATTGGACGGTGAAGCATTGGCCAATAAGACAGATTTTAGAACTGGGGACTAAAAATATAATACGTCATAATTTAATTGAACCACAAAAAGTTGTATTACCTCCTTTGCACATAATGTTAGGAATAATGAAACAATTTGTAAAGGCCCTTGATAAAAATGGACATTGTTTCAAATATCTGTGCGACAAATTTCCTGTATTATCTGAAGCAAAGCTCAAGGAAGGTATATTTGATGGGCCACAAATCAGAATACTAATGAAAGATACAGATTTTCAAAATAGTATGACCACCGTAGAAAAAAATGCACGGACTAGTTTTAAAAGCGTGGTGTCGAAGTTTTTAGGTAATACGAAAGATCCAGATTATAAATCGATAGTAGCCGATTTGATGAAAAATTTACAACTATTGGGCTGTAATATGAGAATAAAATTGCACTTTTTAAATGCACATATTGACTATTTCCCGGAAAATTTGGGTTCATTAAGTGAAGAACAGGGTGAACGTTTTCATCAAGACATCAAAGAGATGGAAAGGCGATATCAAGGTCGATGGGATGTCAGTATGATGGCCGATTACTGCTGGTGTTTAGAACGTGAAACTGAAAAACATAGCTACAAAAGAAAATCAAATAAATTTAGTTTTTACGAACCCGCAAAAAAAAGAACCGATAGCAAGTTACTTGAATAATTTTTTTTTATACTTTAAAAGTAAGAGTTAAAATAAACAAATGTATTTTCTAATAAGTATGCTTAATAATATTTTGAATTTTACTTTAGTTAAATTTATAGCAAATAAAATATTTCAAATAAAATAATAACGTATATTATTATTTATATGTAAATGTTATACTATCTTGTAAAAAAACTAGACGTGATAGAGACAAACTAATTTCAGATTTGAATTTTGCGCATTAAGATCTATAAGGATCAGGTATTATTATACAAACAACAAAAATAACAAAATATTTTGCAGGACGGTGAATAGCTAAGTCGTGTGATATATTAAAACGGTTCAATGAAATCATCATCGAAATGAGCAGTGAAAAAAGTGTAACCATATCCAAAACAATTCTATTTAGCCAGGCATTGAGTAGCTACTGTAGTAAACTAAAATCAGAATATCAAACACTCCCTGAAATTAAAAATTTCATAACAAAATTATCTGAACAAGTTGACAATAGATTTAAACATACAAAAAAACACATTTTGTTAGCAGAGGCGACCTTTTTGGATCCTCGATTTAAAAAATATGGCTTTAAAAACAACTTTGCTTTCCAAGATGTAAAACGATCAATTATAAACAAAGGCAAATTAATTTTAAGCCAACAACAGCAAAATAATGCATTACCTTTACCAGCTTTGTCAGAACCGATAAACGTTGAAATGAACCAGAAAATAGATTCTATTTGGAACGAATTTGACACAGAAGTAAGCGATATAATTCAGTCTCGAGATCCTAACGCTGTAATCATAAATAAAGTTGATAAATATCTCCAGGAGCCACTGATTCCAAAAACTGCAGATCCGCTTAAGTGGTGGAACGAAAATAAAAACATTTATTCGACATTATTTATAATAATGAAACGGCGCTTAGGTGTTCAAGCTTCATCAGTCCCGAGTGAGCGTGTATTTTCAAAGGGTGCTTAGGTTAGGTTGTATCTGAAAAACGTAATAGACTGACTAGTAAAAGAGTAGAGCAAATAATTTTTTTAAATTGTAATTTAAAATAAAATTTAACTAATTTTTTCTATCTACTTATAACCTCATGTAACAGTAGGTACACATTTTGTTTTTATAAAAGGTTTTTATATTTAACAGTACACATTTTGTTTTCTTGAAAGATTTTTAAAGTAGAACAAATAATTTAAAATAAAATTATCCTTATTGCCTCATGTGTATGTACACATTTTGTTTTTTTTTTTTAAAGTTTTTAAAGTTAATAAGTTTATACTATGTAGTCAAAATAATTAAATATTAATCACAACATTCATAATATTCATTTCACAAAAATGAATTCCACAATTTGGTTAATAATTAATAAAGTATATTATATTATTACTTACTTAATACTTATCATAATTTGTAGCTTTATAGTTTATACCTTTATTCACCGCTGGTTTAAAAATCTAAAGGTGCGATTCCTTAGAACGCGTCTAGAGACGCGCGACCAGCGCGGCCGACGCGGCGCGACTCTAATTTTAGCCGCGCGGTTGATAGCGGATTCCCTAGAACTACGAATCGCGCCGCGCCGCGCCGCAACAAATGACCGGGCGGCACATATTTTGATATCGGGTTAATACGTCGTTGTTCGTTCTATTGATCACATGTATTTGGTTACAATTTCGTATTTATTATAAATTTTCAAACCAGTGAACAATGTTGCGTCAACAGAAAAAAAAAATATTGATAAATCTATTATTAGAAGAAATAGAAGAAGAAGAAATTATAATTGAAGAAGTTATGACAAAAATTGTGAACGATTTGTATTTGACCAGAAAAAAGGAGGGTTTTTTTAGTGTATTGATTGAGAAACATTTGTTTAGAGATGAAAAAAAATTCAGGGAATTTTTTAGACTGAGTTGGGAGCAGTTTAATTTTGTTTTAAATCTAATCGAAGATGATTTAAAATTAAATCCGTATAACAGAGTGAAAGAGCCTATTTCACCGGCAGAGAAATTCGCTGTCACGTTAAGGTAAGAATGTTTTTAAAAATATTTATACATAATATTATAACATATCATATACTTTATCAATATAAATAAAAAAGAAAAATTATAACGGAAGCATTATGTAAAAGAATAAATAAAATAAATATATCTTATAATATTGATAAAAAATAAAATAAAATCGTCACTTTTTAAAATAAAAAAAACAAATTAATATTTAAGTAAAAATACTACTGTTCAAAAACATAAAATAGCATAAATAACAAGGTTAAAGTAATTGTAATAATTAAATGCAAATTAGTATTTAAAAATTTTGAAAATGTTCCGACCAATTGGATGCTGATGAGTTTCCATTGAGCTCAGAATGTGATGTGGCGGAATAATTTATCGGGTGTAACTCTTGGAACCTAGAACTTATATTTTCTGCAAACTCGTAATTAGAAGGACTACTTGTCTGATTCGATGGTTTAAGATTCAAAAGTTCCAGTTCATTTATTATTTTTAATACTTCCATTTTTGCTTTAATTTTTAGTTGGGGCGAAAACTGTTTTACTGTTAGGGCTATACTTTTGAAGAAAACGTCGATTGGGTCTTCTGCTTCTTCTGGGTTTGTCAGCTCTTGTAGTAAACGGCTTCTTTCTTCACTTCTTTGTTTCAATATTTCGATGAATGCTTCAGTTTTTTTTTGTCGTTTTGTACCAGTTGTTTCTATTTTTGATTTTTGAACTTCTGTTGTAGACTCTAAAGTTGATGGTAATTGTATGTTTTCATTTTCCGGTTCAATTTGAGAAACACTATTATCCAATGAATTTAAACATTCTTCCTCGTCCTCATCGTTTGTCACATTCGTTTATGTTTTACAAATAAATAATATCAATAAGTAAACAAATGTAAAATATATTATTAGTTATTACTGTCTTTCATATACAGCTGTATCCAAAAATGTCAAAACATCCTCTAGTATCCATTTCGAAGGTTTTTCTCTCGTAGCTGACCCAGTACCCAATTTTCTGCCTCTCCTTTTTTTATTATATGTATCCTTAATATTTTTCCACCGCTTTTTACAATCATCAACTGGTTAAATAATATTATGTTTAAAAATGTAAAAATAAATAAGAGTAAAACATAATTTATTATTCAAATATCAATATTGACATAAAAAATAAGTAGGTAGATATTATTGTCAAATAAATTATTATAAAAATAATTTTAACTTAAATACTATGATTAAAAAAAAAACAATAAACTTGTATTGAAAAATAAAAATAATATTATAATATAAATATAAACATAATAATTATGTCTTCAACCCTTCGATAAATATTGATCATAATTATTACTGTAGTATATTAAAATACCATAATTTATCTAAAAAAATTGCAAATAATTTTAAATTATAAAAAAGAATCCATACAAGAGTTGGATGGATACACGAGATGAATTGATAGGTTAGGCATTTTAGGATAGATTTTGGAATTATTTTATATTATAAAAAAAAACGATTCTGAACGAAGATGAATTGTCAGTGTATATGTTTATAATAAATATTAAATAGTTATTTCACGCGTGAATTTTAATTTTGTAATTTTTATTATTTTTAATTTTTAATTGAACCGATCGCGATATTTCTTATACTTATTATAAGTAAAACTTATGGAGAACCTTGTATTATATTTTCAAGTGTTTTGGCAGAGTCAACAATTTTTCATCAACTTTTATAAAAAAAATCTAAGAAAAATCGAATATTTTAAATGCCTAAATATAGCTTAAAAATAAACGAAATATTTTGAAAATACATTCATGTAAAGAAAACGCTAATTCAAACATTTTATGTAAGTTTCAAGTTTCTACGACGTATACATTTTGAATAAGAACAAATATCAAAAATCGTTGAAGGCTAAATTGTTATTTTACGCAATTATGCAATAATTATAATTTCAAACACTCAACAAAAAACATTCATCATAGTAAAATTAATACATTCTTCACTTCGTTCAGAATCTAAAAGTATAAATTAAACACAATCAAGTGTTTTTTTATAATTTAAAATTACATTAAAAATAATATAAAAAATATATATATGATATATATATTATATATATAATTTTGGTAAAACTAATAAGTTATTGGCAGATAAATATTTTTCTGTTTTAAATAATAGTTTTTTTATATTTGCATATACTGATATTATATACTTAAATACTTTAATATAATTGTATTATTATTATTATTATTATTATTATTTAACAGGTTTATGGCAACTGGTGAATCTTTTCATTCCCTTGCTTTTGCCTTTCGTATTTCTCAAAGTTACATTTCACGTATTGTGAAGCTAGTTTTGAAAAGTTTAAGCAATCGATTAACACCTATTTTATTACCTACACCAACAAAAGATGACATGGTAGAAATATCAAAACAGTTTTGGAAAAAGTGGAATTTTCCGAATTGTGTGGGTGCCATTGATGGTAAGCATATTCGTATATTTTCACCAGAGAAAAGTGGATCATTATATTACAATTACAAAGATTTCTTCTCAATCGTTTTGTTGGCAATTGTTGATGCGAACTGCAAGTTCATTTTGGTTGACATAGGATCTTATGGTAAAGAGAACGATAGTGGTATATTTAACAAATCAAAAATGTCAGAACAAATGAAAAATTGTGAATATTTTCCACCTAATTGCAAAATTCCAAATTCAGAAAAAATATTGCCGTATGTATACATCGGTGATGAAGCATTTCGTTTGGACCCACACATGATGCGACCATACTCTAAAATAGAGTCTAGAAATGATTGCGAAAAAAAAATTTTCAATTATCGTTTGTCACGGGTGATGTGTACCGGCACGTTGTTATTCTTAGTGAAGAGAGCAAGGACGTATTTTAAAAGAATATATGCAAAGACGCTTATTTAATTACTAAAATAAGTGTTTATTATTACGAAAACTACAATGTACTGTATCTTAAATGCTTAATTACTCTAGACTTATAACATAGATTTTCTGTAACACAAATGAGGTTCTGCC